GGGGGGGGGGGGGGGGGGATAAAGAATCTCTGTCAGACTTTCAAGACTCTGTATTATACTTTTAACATAGAGTTCTAGTAGTCCTTATGGAATCTGTTTCCTAATCTGACCTGTCCTGAAGGGCTAACATCCTGAGAGAACCATCCAAAATATGGAGGGGTGATACTTTTATTAGGTCAACTAAACTGACAAAATTACTCCAAGCTTTCAAGTGTCAAGAACTCTTCATCCAAGTTACTGTTGGAAAAAAAGAAAGGAAAGGAAATTGTGGCTGAGGTGGGAACCATTTGGTATTAGGCTGCATCTCTAGACAAAGAATGGTAGGGAACTTTCAGACATGCAGGGAGCACTGGGTGTTTTTATATACAGAGCAAGGACAAGTTGAAGGCACTTGGTCTGTTCAGTCTGGAGAAACAAGGCCAAGGGGAGACACAATAGCCGTGTTCAGGTAGATAAAGAGAAACTACAGGGAAGATGGCCAAAAAAGTATTTTCCCTGGCCAGTTGCAGTTACTTAAATTTAATTTAAATATAAGAGAAAAAATCCTGATAATATACAACAGATAGGTATACAACAGTGAAACAGTCTTCCTTGGGAGGTTATGAGTTTTCCATCTCTGGAAATATTTAAGAAGAAGCTGGACAGCCACCTCTCATGGATGGCTTAAATGGTTTTCCTGCACATTGCAGAGGGTTGGACTAGGTGATCCTTGTGATAAGTTTCAACTCAACATTTCTGTGACTATTATTCAGGACAGGACTGGCATTCTCTGTGTTCTCGTGAACTGGAATTAATATACTATGTTCAGGCAGGAGAATAAGTTGGAGGCTGTGAGCCTCCCTGAGGGTGGGGATCCAGCCTGAGCAAGGATTAGTGAGCAAGTTTTATAGCTGGAACAGAAAGGAGGTTTATGGGAATTGGTAAAACTGAGCACCAACCAGCCCCATCCTCCCAGGAGGAGAGTCCAAGAGTACATGTCCATGCATGTGCTTGGGAAGGAAGGCAGAAGAATGTGACCTTGAAAGACACAGAGGGGGCACAGTGGAAATCCTCTCTTCATCTGCCCCCTAGTGGTTAGTAGGGCATGAGGCGCTAAAGAATCAGTGCCACTGGATTTGGACCTCCAACAGACTAGAACCAAAAAGCACAGCAGGAGTACTAGCCCTACAAGCATGAGAGTTGGCTGGTATGTTTGGGTTTCATGTCTAAATGAGTTTCAGCTTTTCATCATCAAGCGTTCCACTCTTTTACTCTGCACATATTAATGGATGAGTTATCCAACAATCTGTCTTGCCCAATGGACAGGAAGGACAGAAGCAAGCAGGGTTAATGTTCACTCCGGTGCCCTGGTTTCTGTGCCTCAGCAGAACAAAAGCTAACTGGCCTTCCTCACCACTCGAAGCTCCTTGGTGAAGAGAAGTCACAGGATGATGCAGGGGATCTACTCCAACCTGGTGAGTAGGTGCGCAATAAATGTGACAAATGCCTCCCCTTGGAGCACAAGAACTCACGGGGGGCGTGCGCTTGTTGCCCCAGGTCTTACCTGCTTGGCTGCAGAGAGCTCCCTCTGCCCCCTCTGCGTAGCCCCACGGTGTCATCTGCTAGCCCCAGGGCCAAGATGGCAAGTTCCTGTAAAACTCTGCCCAGCATGCTGTGGACTGCCTCATGGGCAGCCTCATCCATTTGACTTTTGGTTGCTCTAAGAAAGCCTGGCTGGCCATCTTCCCATCTTATTTGGTTTTCTTATCCTGTGGTCCCAACTATAGTTTGGCACAGTTGTCACTCAGCTTTTCTCTTACAGGCCCTTCCTGCTGCTCAATCATTTACCTCAAAAATAATTGTAATTACCAATAGAAGAGAACATATGTAGCTCAGGGGTGAACTGTGGAGTCCTTGGTGGTCTCCGAGCTTGGTTGTTTTCTTGCAGAAGTTTTCTTACCCAACTAGATAACATCTTCAGTGCTTGAAGGGAGTGGGGTTTGCTCCCTGCTTATATACAGTAGCTTGCCTTGTCACTGTTGGTGGGGATGTTATTTTCTCCTTGGTTAGGGTTAGGGTTAGGTTTGAGAGGAGACCTCTGCAAGAAAACAACCAAGCTCAGACAACACCAAGGCCTTCATAATTCTAATTATAAGCCATAATCATAACCATCAAAACCCAACATGCTTCCTGCCATGGAAAACAATTTTAAGCAACTTTACCTTCGAGCATGATTCATTCTAATTGCAGGACTTGGGATTTTCTAGCACAGAGCACCCATGTTCTCTCCCCATCCCTCTACTCCATGTTTCCCAAAGTCAAAGGACCTTCTGAAAGAGCCTGACTGGAGGCAACTTTTGTTTTGGTTCTCATTTGTGCTTTGCCTACAGAGTCATTACCAGAAATTCTTTCAAATGATCCTTGTCCTAGGGATCGGTGGGAACCTTCTCGTTGGCTACCAGATTTCTGTGATCAACTACCCCTCTGTGGTAAGAAGCACCTTAGGTTGGTAGGTTGGGAGACAGAGACTCCTCTGCCAGGTAGCACCCATCAGGGTTAGGGTTAGGGCTACTCCAAGGCTACTCCGAGGCTGCCTCCTGTCTTTTCTGGACCCAGAAGACTGCCATATGCATGCCCCCAACCCCCCTGCAGTGAACGAAGACAGCTCCCTTTCTGTGTGTTGAATGGTATAATTCTGAAACTGATTCAGATGAAGACCGAAAGCAGGTGAAAGTGGATTGCAGGCCCGTCTCTGTTCCTGTCCATATTGATCAACATATTTGGCTGTTAGGACAAACTGAATTCTAAGGCCAGGATAACTTTGAATTAGCAGCTTATCCTGATAAGTCATAGCTAAAGTGCTGTGCCACCCCCAGTCAGAAGAGTGCACAGACAAGTAAATGGTCATTATATAATGGGGCAGGATCCTTTCTTTTGAGTTTGCTTCCACAGCCTGCCTCTTCCATTTCCTTAACTCTTGGATGGAACTGGTCCTCAGCCAGATGCAAAGATGCCCCAGGTGCTTCAAGCAGAGTTTCTTGGGGCTCTTCTTCATGGCTGGGTAACGTACATTCTTCTAGGCCTTGATTTGGCAGGAAGACATGCAGACACAGGCTATACTGCCCCCACCCATTTGAGCTTCCCTGCTCCCCAGAATGTGCGGTGGGCCTGGGTTAGGAAACTCTGGGAACCCCCTCTTAGCTTCATCCCATATCTAAGTCAGTCAGATGTTTTTTAATTTTTGTTTTTTGCCATGAGACTGTTTTGCTGAAACAAATGAACAAAATCTCCTCTGCCAATACAATGCAGATCAATAGCTCCCTCCCACTTCATTCAGCTCCTCCGATAAGTTCCACTGACTAGTCAGCCAGAATTTTTTCTTTGCAACTTTTCTTTTGCAAGTGATATGTGTCAGAACTTGCATGGAAATGGATCGTGCTTCATCCCACTCCCTTCAGCTGGTCAGCCAGAATTTTATTCATTTATTTGCTGTATGAATAAAGGGTAATCAAATAGCAATAGTCCTCTTGCTAAATAAATGTATACATTCTGGGCTAATAAGCCTGCTCTGTGCAAGCCAAATGCCCTGTCTCTCTTGCAACCCAAGCCATAATGGACACAGGGATCAGTGCCCATCAAAAGGAAGGAGACTGAAAGGCCCACCTGTCCATGAGGGTGGAGCTCACAGACATGCTCCCACTTCACTCAGTGCACTTCCTAACCAACAACCTGAGAGTTGAGATATTCCTGGTTAAAGGCAACAACAACAGCAATATAGGCTTCACAAGCTAAGTGTCCCATCTCTCTCCCAAGCAAGTCAAAATAGCCTTAGAAAGCATTGTCCAGCAACTAGACAGACTTAAGCAGCTAGACTTCATCACCCACACCATCACCAGCCTTGTCACTGATGCCTTGTAGTTTGTTCATCATACGGCAAGACTTGTGTCAGGAGAAGACTGTTTTAGTAGAAGAACCAAAGGTGACTTCTCTCTACCTGGATGAGACAGAGGCCATATCATGAGAATGTGTCCCTCATGGTAGTAGTTAGATGGTATCTTTGTGCCACAGAAAGCTGGATGTAAGAATGAGGCCTTTACCTGTTGCCAGTCATAATGGTGCACCCATTCCACCTTTCCTTTCTGTTCTATGGTATTTTGTTGGTGGTAAGTAAAAGAGAAGCAGGAGAAAACATAGGAAGAGAGTAAATAAAAGGTGACCACACCTGACCCACAATCTGAAACAACACAGCTGCAAAGAAAAAACTTGCTTGGAAGCATTCATAGGTTCCTCTGGAAACACCCCCAGCACCTTCTTTGGCAGAGGAACAGGGACCCTGGAGTCCCTCTCTTATCAGAAGATGCCCAGTGCCAGGGAGGCTTGGCACAGAGAGATGCTAGATGTAGCTAGAGAGACTTGGCCAAGACCTTAACCCAAAGCACCAACCTGGAGCCTCAGGACTAGCAGCAGTTGGAACTGAAGCAAATTATGAGGAAAGATTCATAAGCACCTCACAGGGAAACCACCCTGCTGTAAGGGACAGCTGATCCTGGAACAAAGTCATAGAATCATAGGTGGGAAGGGACCCTGGAGATCTTCTAGTCCAACCCCCTTCCCAGACAAATGGCTGTCCGACCTTCATCTGAAAACCACCCACAGCTCCAGGAGGCAGGCTGGTCCAGGGCTTCATAATAGCTCAGTAGTCAGGCCAACTCTCCAGCCTCAAGTTTGGAAGGCAAATTAAGCTGACATTTTATTGGGTTTTTGGGCTCAGACTGAAATGCTACAAATTCTTTTTCAAAGGGATCGTTTATTATGGCAGATGGTGGTTTCTTTCATTATTTTTTAAAATAAAGAATAGTATCTGTTAACATGGATGTGTGTTGTTTAAAAGTACTACATGTGCCATTTCTACATAGCCCCTCCTGCCATTGTTGGAATTAGGTTCACTTTATTTTCAAGTGGTAAAACAAAGGCTTGCTCAGACAAAGCCACACGGCTTCATCACTCTGTCGCCTCTCATGACCCACTTGCGGGCTCAGTGGGAAATGCAGCCAGCCACAGCTTTTGGGAGGCATTGCACATACCGTTGTCGAAGAGTTAAACAGTAATTTAGTCTGGAGAATAATAGTGATGCTTTTGGCTGAAGTCTCCTGTGCCCTCTGTTCCCAGTACATTAAGAGCTTTGTGAACGAAACCTGGTTGGAGCGCTTTGGAGTCCCTGTCAAGGAGAAGACGCTCCTCTTCCTGTGGTCATTTGTTGTGTCAATCTATGGCATAGGAGGTCTGCTGGGATGTCTCTGCAGTGGATACCTGACCGTGAGATATGGGAAGTATGTGGCCTCGTGAACTCAAGAAATCTTGCAGCCCTTGAGTGTGCCTGAGAAACAAACGCATCTCCCAGTTGCAAAAGAAATCAGGGTGCTGATGGTCAAGAGAAAAAAGGAGAGCCAAAATCCACCAGGAAGGTCGCAAAACAGCTGCAAACTCAGAAGCTTGCAGTCATTTTATAAACTTTCTTTTGGCCTAATAAATATAGGAAATGAATAGGTTTATTCAAAAGGCAAAAGCAAAATCCAAAACAAAACAAAACAAAAATGGGATGTTTCCGTTCTGGATTCGCTTAAGCTGAAGTATTTGTTTCTCTAGGACCATTGGCCCTGCTGGCTTCTGGGAGGGACCAGGATGGCTGCCTCTGTTTTAGAAAGTCACACTCATTCGCTCTATGCACTGAAATGTTGTTCTGCCACACTTGTGATTTTACTACCTATAGCTTTTAGATGGGCAGGACATGCATCTTTCCTGACATGCTGCCAGTAGCACTTCCCAGATGCAGCTGCGGGCATGGAGGGTGGTGTCTGGAGGCCCCAGGGCTCCAAGGGAGCAGTGGATTGCAGCCAGTCTCCACACCAGGGAAACAGGCTTCTAGGCAAGGCAGCACATGCAGAGGTGCCCAAGGAAGTCAAGCAGCTAATATGGCTATTTTCTTTCCCATCCCGATTCCCTCTTGGCCCATGGATGCAGAAAGAAAAGCCAGTTGAGCACAGACCTCCTGGTCATCCTGACTGCCATAGTCATGGGCTGCAGTAAGAGAGCCAAGTCCTTTGAAATGGTTCTGGTTGGACGATTCGCTTACGGGATAAGTGCTGGTAAGAAGGTGGGCTTTGATGTGGCTTTTAAATATTCTCTGGGGAAAGCCAGCAGGACCAAAGGCCAGATGCCAGGCTGCCAGGGAACCCCAAGACAGAAAGCGACCATGGCTGCACCCAAGTCCTCACTGGGGACAACTGGTTGGCCTTTGGAAGAAGAGGGCCATGATCCACCAGGGCTCTCCTGCCCTTCAAAAGCAGGCTGGCTTGTGACATGAGCATGGGGACCCACTGGACTCTTAGTTGAAAGGCCTCAGGGCAGAGGGTGAGGGGTCAGCATCCCGATGATTCAATGCAGCTCATGCTGCCTGCCTGAGCCAGCGAACAACTCTGCTCCAGTGGCTGTGTGTTGCTCTTTCAATTTTCTATTGTTTCTTGTCTCTCCTTCCTTTCTCCTTCCCTTCCTTCCAGGCTTCTGCCTGGCCATCCATTCTCAGTATGCTGGAGAAATTTCTCCCAAGAAATGGAGAGGATTTGCAAATGCTACCTCGGGATTCTTTTGGTCTCTGGGGAAATGCTTGGGCCAAATCTTAGGACTCAGGTACACGAGGAGGACAAGGAAAGAGGGAGGGGGCCATGTCTGGAAAGCTGCTTGCCCATCCCCAACCTCTACCCTCCTGCTTTCCAGGGAACTGCTGGGAACGGATTCATCCTGGCCTCTGCTGCTGGCCTTCCCTGGCATGGTGGCGTTCCTCCAGCTGCTCCTCTTGCCATTCTTCCCTGAGTCTCCTTCTTATCTCTTAATCCAGGAGGGAAATGAGGAAGGCTGCTTGAAAGGTAAGTTGTCCTTGAAAAAATTGGTCTCACCTTGGACTGGCAAAGGTGGACCTGATCTTGGCAAATGTGTAGTCCAAAGTTTAGACTGCCCAGGACTAAGGAGGAGCTGGAGATGGCAGGGACTTCAGCTCCCCTGCCAATCTCTTCATCATCATCTTCAAGCCCTGTTTAAGATCACCTGATTCCTTTTGGAAAGGGGGGTCCAGTGGCCCATTTGCAGAGCTGCACAGAGGAGTTTTCTGGGCATCTGGAGGATAAAAACGCTCACATCCAGTCCCAGTTGGATACCAAGCGTGGGGCATGGTATATAGAGATGCCCAGGGTACGGACTTACCCTGTTATCTGGGAACAGTTTGATCCTGTTGAACCCGAGGAAGTGGACCCTCCAAATGGTCAATGCCACCACTTGCCAAGTAGATCCATGTCCCTCCTGGCTGGTTAAGGCTACTCAGGAGGTGACATGTGGATGGGTCCAGGCGATGGTGAATTCATCCTTAAGGGAGGGAGTGTTCCCAGCTGCCTTTAAAGAGGCGCTGGTGCATCCTGTCCTCAAGAAGCCATCACTGGATCCCACCATATTGGACAATTTTCATCCAGTCTCACACCTCCCCTTTTTAGGGAAGGTGGTTGAGAAGGTGGTGGCGATGCAGCTCCAGAAGATCCTGGAGGAAACGGATTATCTGGACCCTTTTCAGTGGGGTTTCAGGCCCGGATAGGGGATGGAAACAGCATTGGTTGCAATCTTGGATGATCTCTGGTGGGAGCAGGATGCAGGTAGTACATCCATCCTTGCTCTTCTTGACCTCTCAGTGGCTTTCGATACCATCAACTATGGTATCCTTTTGGGTCAGCTTGGGGAGTTCGGGATGGCAGCACAGTTTTGCACTGATTCACCTCTTTCCTTCAAGAACGGTCCCAATCGGTGTTGATAGGGAGAGAGAGGTCCAGCCCATGGCCCCTTTGTGAGGTGCTGCAGGGTTCAGTACTCTCTCTGTTCCTTTTTAACATCTACATGAAACCACTGGGTGAGATCATGCCCAAGTGATTTGAGACACCTTTCGAGGTGTCTGGAGGCTGTGGGGTCTGGATGGGGTGCAACAGGCTTCAGCTGAACCCTGGTAAGGTGGAGTGGCTGTGGAATGGAGGCCCCTCTGTATCCAAGGATTTACCATCTTTGGTTCTGGATGGGGTTGCACTGCCCCAAACAGACCTGGTGCATAATCTGGGGGTCCTCCTGGACTCACAGCTCCTGCTTGAGGAGCAGGTGGCAGTTGTGGCCAGGAGGGCCTTTGCCCACCTTCAGGTGGTGCGCCAGTTATGCCCCTTCTTGGATCAGGAGGCTCTCAGGTCAGCCACTCATGCCCTGGTCATCTCTCAGCCAGACTATTGCAGTGCGCTCTACATGGGGCTACTCTGGAAGAGTATCTGGAAGCTACAGCTGGTGTAAAACACAGCCACGTGGGCAATTTTGGGTGCCCCAAGGATGGCACATATAACACCTTTACTGCAGGAGCTGCACTGGGTGCTAGTTTGCTTCCAGGTCCAATTCAAGGTGTTCGTTATCACCTTTAAAGTCCTACATGGCATGGTCCAGGTTACCTGAGGGACCATCTCACCCTCATTACGTCAACCCATTCCACCCAGTCAGGCAGAGAGGGCATGTTGCAGGTCCCATCAGCGAGAGAATGTTGGCTGGCAGGGCCCAGGAGGAGAGCCCTTTGGAATATTCTCCCCCCCCCCCCCCCCCTCATGTGGTGGGCCCCTATCCTCCCAGCTTTCTGGAAAGGATTAAAGACCTGGCTCTGCCAGCTTGCATAAGGCAATAGGAGCTCTAATCATCCCTGGGGGTGGTTAGCACCCTAATGATGCTCCCTGAGTTATTCGCCAATTCTCCATCATTCTTTGAATTTATTTATTATTATGATTGGTTTTTTTGTTTGTATTTTAATTGATTTTATCTCTGTTGTAAACCGTCCAGAGTCATTTCAGTGAGATGGGTGGTGACAAGTTTAATATATAAATAAATAAATAAACATAGTATGAGAAAGTAAATAGGAAGAATTTGGAGAATTCTTCCAAGAATATGGAGTTAAAGACTGGTTCCTGAATGTGATAAGAGTGGTATTTGATGGAAGCAAAACATTTGTGAGAATAAATGAAATGTTTAGTGAGCAAGCAGGGAATAAGCCAAGGATATGTGATGTCTGCTTCCTTGTAGTGACATCTGAGAAAAGTTGGTTCTATGAAGATTTTGTTTTTATTTATTCAATGACCAAGGCATAAGTGACCAGGGGTAGGGCCTCCTGATCTGGGATTGGGCACAATTGACACACAAGATGGATTTGTGTAAAGCTCTCCTAGCCATGGCTGACATCTGCTCTGAGTAGGAGCCAGCTCTAGGAGTACCACTAGTTGTGTACCTGTCAGAAACCTCATGCTTCTTACAGTACCAGTTCTGTTTGGAGAAATGCCATCCCATCCAGAACAAACAATAGAAGTTCCCTAGATCTGGGTGGTTCTGAAACCCACAGCCACTGAGTCTTGCTAGGGTTAAGCCTAAGCCAGTTCCCTCCCATCCAGATCCCCACAGCCTTCAGACCCTATGAAAGAACCTTGACAACATCACATGGTTGATTCCAGATAGAGATGTCACATACTGATGATACCTAAACCTTTGTCCATAGATGATTCCACCCTGTGGTTCATGTAAATGTTAAACAGGAGTGGGGAAAGAGTTGAACCATGTGGAAGGCCAGAGAGCAGGGGTCTCAGGTTCAATCTCCCCCTCCCCCCCAACATAGACTGGAACCCATGAAAGAGAAAGGAGAACTATAGCAACACCATTCCTGTACCCTCCCAATCCTTATAGCTAATCTTGAAGGATATATTGAAAGCCATTGAGAGATTAAGAAAGGTCAAGTTAGATATGCTACCTCCTTCCCAGTCCCACCAGAGATCATCTAGAAATAGAATAAATGCCATCTCAATGCTATACACAGGCCTGAAACCACACTAAAATGAGTTTAGATAATCAGCTTCTCCAAGGCTCCTTGAAGCTGCAGCCTAACCAACTTCTCAACAACCTTTCCCCCAAAAGGGACAGTTGGAGACAGGCTGGAAATTATCCAGCGTGACTGGGCCCAGTGATGGCTTCTTGAGGAAGGTGTGCACTACTACCTCATTCAAGGCTGGTGGGACCTAGATTGCTGTGAAGAGCACAAGAGGCAGCAAGAAAGGCCAGCTGTGGTTTGTGGTTTGTGGCTCACAAACGTCTGCCTTTATTGAGTGGGTCTTATAGGCCTTCACCCACTGGAATGCTCACAGAAATTTAGAAACAGTAAATCAGGGATAGAAAGCCAGTTTGGTGTAGTGGTTAAGGCACCAGGCTAGAAACCAGGAGATCATGAATTCTAGTCCCGCCTTACGCACAAAGCCAGCTGGGTGATCTTGGGTCAGTCCCTCTCTCTAGTATGAGGTTAAAGAAAAGTTACAAATTAGCATGAGCTGTCTGCTTTGTTAAACCCTGAGCAGGGAGGCATGTGCTGAGCTAAGGCAGAGAGCATTGACTATAGTAATTAAGGTCAGAGTGGAGAGCTTGTTATTTCTGGCTCCTTTAGCAAGCAGATGGTGTGCTGCTCAGGAAAGGCAACTAGGAATAAACTAGCATGTCCATGCAACTCTTTCAGGTGTTAATTAAAAGTACAGGTGAGTCATAGAACAGATGCCTTGAACAGTCCTCATATTGGCCCTTCCCTCACCTTGGGTCATCTTGAACAGGGCTGCTGGATAGGAATCTGTGGATGTCATAAGAATGGAAAAATTGTAGTGATGCATTGGCACAAGATAATCCTTAATAGAGGTTCTTACATGTGTTTTATCCGAGTCACTCCTTGTGGTGCCTCTTCAGATGTTTCATCTCCTGGAGCTCTTCTGAAAACTAGATGCACTACAAGATCTGTGAACAGGAAGAATCTGGTACAAAGGTGCTGTTGCCCTCTCATTCCAAGTGGTGACTAAGGCCTCATTCAGAGTGCACTAGAACATCGAAAACAACCCCAACCCCCCTTTGAAACCCAATAAGGTCCATTAGGCACCTGATGTAGACCAAACGAATGGTTCTTAGCTCCTATACCAGAGAGCAGCTGTGGAGAACTACAAAGCAATCAAAGAGTGATCTAATCATGACACGGGATAGATATTAATATCCCCAGATCACATTGCCACTGGCACAAGACAAAAAACAGATCTAATGTGTGTCCTCCACTGAGTCAAGTCCATGGCTGCCATGGACTGAACTCTCAAGCCACTTCAGCTTCCACACCCAGGGAAGACAGGTGAAGTCTCCCAGTGCCATACATCTGGGAAGCTCCACTGCCAGAGAGTCAGGCAGTTCACACATTTCTATTTTTTGGTCCATCTAGCTCATTTCTCACTAAGACCTGTGTTTGATTGAGAAGCTGTGAACTAGAGCAATGTTTCTCAAACTCATCAACTTAAAGATGTGTGGACTTCCACTCCCAGGATTCCCCAGCCCCACATCTTAAAGTTGCTGAGGTGGAGAAACACTGGGCTAGAGGACCAACCCAGAGGTCAGCATTATGAGGGCAGGCCACTCCCCCTCTGGTGGGCTCCTTTTCAGGGACTACTTAGAGGCTTGGGCAGCTGTGTGCAAGGATGAGAACTGTTTCTCTTGGCTCTCATGTCCTGTGAGGCCTTTCTGGCCATGGGAAAAAGGGTGCTGCTGCCCAGAAACTACTTGGTTAGTCTTTGTGATTTGGCATCTTCTCTGTTTCCCCAGCAATGCACCAACTGTGGGGCCAAGGGGATCACCAGGAAGAGCTTGGTGATCTGAGGAAAGAAATGGCCCCAGGAGGGCAAAGAAGCAAAGTGCTTCAGGCAGGAGAGCTGCTCCAAGATGCATCACTCCGCCAGCAGCTGAGTATCCTTGTTGTTGTCATTGTCACCATGCAGCTCTGCGGCATCAATGCAGTTAAGTGTCTCCTCACACAATCTCAGTAGAACCTATTGAGAGCCAACTGACATGCACACTAAGAACTGCTCAGGCTTCTCAGCAAAGCCGCTTGAAAGAGAGGGCATAGGGCATTAGCTAGGATAAAAAAAGGATGACCACATCTGGAAGTAGCAGAACTGGGGTCATACTATGGAAAAGCAAACTGAGGAGATGAAATATCAGAAAATGCAAATAATGAATTAGTAAAGTAACACAGTCTCTACAAAAACTACTGAGGGGCATTCCCCAAACTGTAGAACTCCTGCTCCCACCAGCCAATGCACCTTGATCAAGATTGGTGGAGCACCACAGCATCTGGAGGTACAGAAAGGGACTGGAGAGTCTTCAGGCCCCACTTTGAGCAAGAGCCAAACTAGACAGTCCCTAGTTTGTTTTCCACTCCAGAATCAATGGTTTTGCCTCAGCACTGCATGTGGCCTTCTCCCTTCCATCTCATGGGGCTGCATGCCAGGAGTTTCTGCCTCAGTGCTAGTTTTTCTGAACCTCAGCAAAGTTGTTTTTCCCAAAGTTTCATTCTCTTCCTGCAAGGATTGCAAGATGGAATAATGTCATTTCTTTAAGCCAACATGGTTTTCTGCCAACTCTCATATTGCAAGAGCCTGGCATGTTGATTTGGGGAGGTGAAGGGACTCTTGTCCACCAGCCAGCCCAGGGGGCAGCAAGGATCTGTGCCCCGTAGGAAGTACCAGGCTCAGGAAACAACTGGGCTTGCTGTCTGGAAAAAGCCTGGCAAGCTTGGGCACATTTGCCCCTCCCTGCTCCACCCCTTCAACTGCCACCCCCCCCCAGGTTTCCCCACCACCACTGCAGTGTTCTAGTTTGAGCTACTACTTCCAGGAGGGAGAGTGCCATGCTAGGGCCAGTTCCAAGCCCTTTCAGGCTCTCATGTGTTGGGGGGATTGAAAAGCAGACTTTTGCAAGGGACTGCAGCACTGAACATCTGCTCTCAGGTATGGGCAGGTCTTCACTGCTTCTTTACCACTACTAGCATCTTCTTTTTTCCATTTAGGTCTATTTCTATGCTTTTGAAGTGCTTCAAAATGCAGGCTTTGAAGAGAGACTGATCCCCTACGTCTCCCTGGGCATCGGCTTCTCTGAGCTCTTCTCTTCTTTCCTCTGTGTAAGACCCTTTCTACACAGTATGTTTTATTCTACAATACTTCCTTCCTCTCCCAGTGTTATTTTGCCCTTGTTAATCTTGTTCTGTGTCAGTCACTGTCCTTCCCAAACCCACTTCTGTGATTCCCCAGAGGCACAGCTTGCATCTCCGCTGGAACGTGATATAGGCAGGCCCAAACTCTTGCCAAGGCCATTCCAGGCTGCCTGCAAGGTTCAGCAGTGCCTCTGGCCAGCCTGGAGCCCCTGAGGATTCCTTGGAGGGGTGCGTGCCCCTGAGCTGAACCCCAATCTGGGCTGGGCGGCCAAGCCAACTGGAGTCATCAGACTCCCACAAGTATCAATTTGACACTTTGAGAGACCCAAGGTGCTGCGTCCACAATTCTCCAACAGCAGAAAAAATGACTGAACTGTCACTTCTATTGTTTTGTATTTCCTCCTGGTATATGAAGGTTCTGCTTGACAGCTACTCTTTGAATTCAGACTGTCAGAAAAGCAACAAGTTTCCACCCATGTTTCCCTGACAATGGTACATTCTCTTATTTCCCCTTTTCAGATATTTACCATTGAGAGGTATGGACGGAGGCCCCTTCTGTGGAAAGGCTGTGAGTTGATGGCTTTGGTGCTGTTCCTCCTCACAGGGACTCTTTCTCTGCAGGTGAGAAGAAAAGGTTTCTCTGGAAATTTTCTTTTCCAGCAGAGCAGGCAGCATAGTTAGCCTCTCTTCCTATAGGAAGCAGGGGGGAAAAATGAAATGTTAGGTGCATCGTGGTGAAATTCAGATTCTTCACTTTTTGGGCTTTCCCTTTGATAGAACAGAGAATGGCAGAACATTCATTGGAATGCAAGGCCAACACTCTGTTTCTGCAGGGTGAGATTAGTCAAAGAGCAGGTAGACAAAGAGGACCATCTCTGCTCCATCATCCTCTCTCAAGGCCAAACATACCCAGTTTCCTCAATCTCTCCTTATAGGCATAAGACCATTATGCCTTATAGACTATAAGTCCATTAAGCACTTGCCAACATGGCTGGACCCTTGTTGGTTCTGGACTCTGTGACAACATAATGCAACAGCATCTCCATGCTGCTAAGATCCAATGCATTGCAAAGAATTTCCCCTCTCCTCAAGTAGCAGTACTAGTTTCCCCTTCAAATGTTTGACCCTTTGGCCCAGAAGAAGACTGTAATGCAAGGCTATTCTGCCACGCATTTTTCTCCTTGAAGGGTAGAGAAAGGCACCAGGGAAATAGCTGTCTTTGACCTGATACTAATCAAAATTTAGTTGAGGAAGAGGAAAGTGCAGAAACATTAGAGGACTGTGACTATATAGTGCTGGAGTTTGGGATTTTATAAAACTCAGTGTTATATGAAAAATCGAGTTTGCAATAATTTATTCAACAAAAAAATAACAGATATGCCAATTCCTTCTGTGGAAAAAGTAAGTGTCTCCTCGGCTCTAATACCTGATATTGTCCCCTTTGGCAGAAACAACCTTTAGTAGGCGTTTCTTAGAACTGTCTACCAGGGTCTGATATCAACTGGAGGGGATTTTTTCCCACTCCTCCATGCAGAATTTTTTCAGCTGTGTGGTGTTGGAGGGGTTTCTTGCATGCTCAGCCAATGTCAAATCACCCCACAGCATCTCAGTGGGATTTAGATCCAGGCATTGACTTGGCCATTTCAGAACCCTCCATTTCTCTCTCTTTTTTTTCAGCCATTCCTTGGTGGAGTTACTGGAATGTTTAGGGTCATTGTCATGTTGCACAGTCCACTTCAATCAGCAATTCAATTCAGCAATCTTCTGACAGATGCCCTCACATTATCCTCAAGTGCCCTCTGGTAAAATGAAGAATTCATAGCGGATTGTATGACGGTGAGCTGCCCAGGCCCTGATGCAGCAAAGCAGCCCCAAACTATAACATGTCCACCACCGTGCTTTACATCAGGTTCTTCTGGTGAGATGCTGTCTTTGGTTTTCACCAAACATGTCTTCTGGTGCTATGGCCAAATAACTCTTTGCCTCGTCTGTCCAGAGCACACTGTTCCAGAAGTCCTGGTCTTTGCCGAGGTGTTCATGTCCAAACGTTAGTCTTGCCCTGATGCCCAGAAAGGGCAGCAAAGATTTCCTGGCACACCTCCCATGTAAATCTAATTTGTGCAGCTTCTTTCTAATGGTAGAGTCATGTACTTTGACGAGAGCTACCTGTAGGTCATGTGACAAAATTCTGGGATTCTTAGGGACTTTTTTCAGCATCTTGAATTCTGCTGTTGGGCTGAATCTGGTGGGACAACCTAGTGTGGCCTGGGTAGTCAGTCAGTCATTTTATTATGGTCACTGACCAGCAAAGGCCTGGCCTGGGCAAGTTGGCCGTTGCTTGAAATCTCCTCCACTTCTAGATGATCTTCCAGACATTGGAATGACTGATGTCCAATTGCTTGGTGATCTTTTTAAATCCCTTCCCAGACACAGGCATCTATTAGCTTCTTTCTGAAGGCCTCGGAGAGCTCTTTCCATCTAGGCATAGTGATACCACACACCTCAGTAACAAAGAGCAAATCAAACGAAATGTCTGAGGCTTCAGTAAGACAAGTTCCTCCAAGGTTCTCTCTTAACAATGTTCTAATCATCTGCACCTGATCTGGTGCTCCTGATTCTAATTTTAGGTATTTGAGGTAGTGATAAATGTAGCGGTATACTTACTTTTTCCACATGTGAAATTTGCATTTATGTTTATTTAAATTACACAATGGACTACAAGGCGTAAATGGTGCATGATATTTGTCCCTTTTCTCTATCAATGTTGTTGAAATGGATCAAATATCTATATGTTGAAATATGTTGAAAAAAAAATCCAATGGCATGCACTTACTTTTTCATGTGACTGTAATTTCTAGATCTTTTTTTAGATTTTTTAATCCTGCCTTTATTATTTTTTATAAATAACTCAAGGCAGTGAATATACCTAATACTCCTTCCTCCTCCTCTTTTCCCCACAACAACAACCCTGTTGTTGGGCTGAGAGAGAGGGACTGGCCCAAAGTCACCCAGGTGGCTTTCCTGCTTCAGGTGGGAGTAGAACTCACCGTCTCCTGCTTTCTAGCCTGGGGCCTTCACCACTGGATCAAACCGGCTCTCTATTCCTGATTTACTGTTTCTAAATTTCTGTGAGCATTCCAGTGGGTGAAGGGCTATAAGACCCACTCAATAAAGGCAGACCAGTCATATACCATGACTGACCTTTCTTATTTATTTTCTATAGATTTATTTATATATTTCTTATTTATTTATTTATTTACAGGTTATTTATTTATTTATTTAATACATTTATTTGGCTGCCCATCTCAAATACTTGACTCTGGGTGGCTTACAAGTAGAACAAAATAAAAGTAAGATAAAACAGCCAAAATTTAAAAACATCAATAGTATAAAAATAGCTGCCAAGAACATTCATAACATCCCACATTCAAATCAGCCATGAAATAGGCTCACTCATGGGGCTTCCATTAACTCAGGGAAGTAAATTGTTCCACCAGGCTCCACATTGAGTTTGTACCCATTTCTGGACACCACCCTTATGAAGAATTCATACAGATGGAGACCAATTGTCACACAGAAGAGGACAAGACAATTCTCATACAGGACACGGAATAATAGGTTTAAGCTACTAATGGGAGATTCGGCTTGAATGTTAAAAAAAGTTTCCTAATAGAGCAGTTGGACAGTGGAACCAGTTACCCAGCAAACTGGTGGGTGCCCTTCTTTGAATGCATTTGGGGGAAGCTGGAGAGTCACCTCTTGTCAATCTTGCAAGATAGACCAGACAGGAAGCACACCCAGATGAGCTAATTCTACTTTATTGTAAAGCTACATTAACAGAATCTTGCAAGTCTGAAA